CCTTACGTTTTTTTTTTTGGGCGAAAAATTAAGTATCCCCAATCTTCTCAAAACTCTGGATTCTGATAGAGGGCCATGAGACTTAGACCTGAGTGCAAAAATGGAGGCTCTAGACCCTTCCAGAGCTGAGATATCGAAACTCAAAATTTCGACCAGAAAAAAAAACGACAGTGTTACCCCTTACGTTTTTTTTTTGGGGCGAAAAATTAAGTATCCCCAATCTTCTCAAAACTCTGGATTCTGATAGAGGGCCATGAGACTTAGACCTGAGTGCAACAATGGAGGCTCTAGACCCTTCCAGAGCTGAGATATCGAAACTCAAAATTTCGACCCGAAAAAAAAAACGACAGTGTTACCCCTTACGTTTTTTTTTTTTGGGCGAAAAATTAAGTATCCCCAATCTTCTCAAAACTCTGGATTCTGATAGAGGGCCATGAGACTTAGACCTGAGTGCAAAAATGGAGGCTCTAGACCCTTCCAGAGCTGAGATATCGAAACTCAAAATTTCGACCCGAAAAAAAAACGACAGTGTTACCCCTTACGTTTTTTTTTTTGGGCGAAAAATTAAGTATCCCCAATCTTCTCAAAACTCTGGATTCTGATAGAGGGCCATGAGACTTAGACCTGAGTGCAACAAATGGAGGCTCTAGACCCTTCCAGAGCTGAGATATCGAAACTCAAAATTTCGACCCGAAAAAAAAAACGACAGTGTTACCCCTTACGTTTTTTTTTTGGGCGAAAAATTAAGTATCCCCAATCTTCTCAAAACTCTGGATTCTGATAGAGGGCCATGAGACTTAGACCTGAGTGCAACAATGGAGGCTCTAGACCCTTCCAGAGCTGAGATATCGAAACTCAAAATTTCGACCCGAAAAAAAAAACGACAGTGTTACCCCTTACGTTTTTTTTTTTGGGCGAAAAATTAAGTATCCCCAATCTTCTCAAAACTCTGGATTCTGATAGAGGGCCATGAGACTTAGACCTGAGTGCAAAAATGGAGGCTCTAGACCCTTCCAGAGCTGAGATATCGAAACTCAAAATTTCGACCCGAAAAAAAAACGACAGTGTTACCCCTTACGTTTTTTTTTTTGGGCGAAAAATTAAGTATCCCCAATCTTCTCAAAACTCTGGATTCTGATAGAGGGCCATGAGACTTAGACCTGAGTGCAACAATGGAGGCTCTAGACCCTTCCAGTGCTGAGATATCGAAACTCAAAATTTCGACCCGAAAAAAAACCGACAGTGTTACCCCTTACGTTTTTTTTTTGGGGCGAAAAATTAAGTATCCCCAATCTTCTCAAAACTCTGGATTCTGATAGAGGGCCGTGAGCCTTAGACCTGAGTGCAAAAATGGAGGCTCTAGACCCTTCCAGAGCTGAGATATCGAAACTCAAAATTTCGACCCGAAAAAAAAAACGACAGTGTTACCCCTTACGTTTTTTTTTTTTGGCGAAAAATTAAGTTCCCCAATCTTCTCAAAACTCTGGATTCTGATAGAGGGCCATGAGACTTAGACCTGAGTGCAAAAATGGAGGCTCTAGACCCTTCCAGAGCTGAGATTTCGAAACTCAAAATTTCGACCCGAAAAAAAAAACGACAGTGTTACCCCTTACATTTTTTTTTGGGCGAAAAATTAAGTATCCCCAATCTTCTCAAAACTCTGGATTCGGATAGAGGGCCATGAGACATAGACCTGAGTGCAACAATGGAGGCTCTAGACCCTTCCAGAGCTGAGATATCGAAACTCAAAATTTCGACCAAAAAAAAACGACAGTGTTACCCCTTACGTTTTTTTTTTTGGGCGAAAAATTAAGTATCCCCAATCTTCTCAAAACTCTGGATTCTGATAGAGGGCCATGAGACTTAGACCTGAGTGCAAAAATGGAGGCTCTAGACCCTTCCAGAGCTGAGATATCGAAACTCAAAATTTCGACCCGAAAAAAAAACGACAGTGTTACCCCTTACGTTTTTTTTTTTGGGCGAAAAATAAGTATCCCCAATCTTCTCAAAACTCTGGATTCTGATAGAGGGCCATGAGACTTAGACCTGAGTGCAAAAATGGAGGCTCTAGACCCTTCCAGAGCTGAGATATCGAAACTCAAAATTTCGACCCGAAAAAAAAACGACAGTGTTACCCCTTACGTTTTTTTTGGGCGAAAAATTAAGTATCCCCAATCTTCTCAAAACTCTGGATTCTGATAGAGGGCCATGAGACTTAGACCTGAGTGCAAAAATGGAGGCTCTAGACCCTTCCAGAGCTGAGATATCGAAACTCAAAATTTCGACCCGAAAAAAAAACGACAGTGTTACCCCTTACGTTTTTTTTTTGGGGCGAAAAATTAAGTTTCTCCAATCTTCTCAAAACTCTGGATTCTGATAGAGGGCCATGAGACTTAGACCTGAGTGCAAAAATGGAGGCTCTAGACCCTTCCAGAGCTGAGATATCGAAAATCAAAATTTCGACCCGAAAAAAAAACGACAGTGTTACCCTTACGTTTTTTTTTTTTGGGCGAAAAATTAAGTATCCCCAATCTTCTCAAAACTCTGGATTCTGATAGAGGGCCATGAGACTTAGACCTGAGTGCAACAATGGAGGCTCTAGACCCTTCCAGAGCTGAGATATCGAAAATCAAAATTTCGACCCGAAAAAAAAAAACGACAGTGTTACCCCTTACGTTTTTTTTTTTTTGGGGCGAAAAATTAAGTATCCCCAATCTTCTTCAAAACTCTGGATTCTGATAGAGGGCCATGAGACTTAGACCTGAGTGCAACAATGGAGGCTCTAGACCCTTCCAGAGCTGAGATATCGAAACTCAAAATTCGACCTGAAAAAAAAACGACAGTGTTACCCCTTACGTTTTTTTTTTTGGGCGAAAAATTAAGTATCCCCAATCTTCTCAAAACTCTGGATTCTGATAGAGGCCATGAGACTTAGACCTGAGTGCAACAATGGAGGCTCTAGACCCTTCCAGAGCTGAGATATCGAAACTCAAAATTTCGACCCGAAAAAAAAACGACAGTGTTACCCTTACGTTTTTTTTTTGGGGCGAAAAATTAAGTTTCCCAATCTTCTCAAACTCTGGATTCTGATAGAGGGCCATGAGACTTAGACCTGAGTGCAAAACAATGGAGGCTCTAGACCCTTCCAGAGCTGAGATATCGAAAATCAAAATTTCGACCCGAAAAAAAACGACAGTGTTACCCCTTACGTTTTTTTTTTTGGGCGAAAAATTAAGTATCCCAATCTTCTCAAAACTCTGGATTCTGAAAGAGGGCCATGAGACTTAGACCTGAGTGCAACAATGGAGGCTCTAGACCCTTCCAGAGCTGAGATATCGAAAATCAAAATTTCGACCCGAAAAAAAAAACGACAGTGTTACCCCTTACGTTTTTTTTTTGGGGCGAAAAATTAGTATCCCCAATCTTCTCAAACTCTGGATTCTGATAGAGGGCATGAGACTTAGACCTGAGTGCCAACAATGGAGGCTCTAGACCCTTCCAGAGCTGAGATATCGAAATTCAAAATT